GGATAAATTCCTTTGAAGTGAAATTTTCAACCCTGGAAGTATGTAAAGCTGGAACCTATAGTAACACCACCAAATGGTATGAAAATGCGTTGGTTGTGTTCGTGGTTGTTTTTCTCACACATACACACAGTAAACCTCACTCTTTTCACGGCTGCATAGTATTCCCCTAGTGTGTGTGCCATAATAGTCTTGTAATGTAGCAGGACAAGTCACAGACAAGAACCCCTCAGATACCAAGTTGTGGAAGGAAAGGGCTTTATTTAGCTGAGAGCATTGGTGAACTCACGTCTCCAAAAACCAAGCTCCCTGAGTGAGTAATTCCTGTGCCTTTTAAGGGCTTACAACTCTTTATTTTATTTTATTTTATTTTTGAGATGGAGTCTCGCTCTGTCGCCCAGGCTGGAGTGCAGTGGCGCGATCTGGGCTCACTACAAGGCCCACATGAGAAGGTCATGATCGATTGAGCAAGCCGTGGGTACGTGACCAGGGGCCGCATGCATTGGTAATCAGAATGGAACAGAACAGGACAGGGTTTTCCATGGTGCTTTTCCATACAATGTCTGGAATCTATAGATAACATAAACCGGTTAAGTCGGGGTCAGTCTTTTAACTACCAGGCCTGGAATGCAGCATTGGGCTGTGTGACTACAGATTTCATTTCTGTCTTTTCTTTAAACTCCTACTTTTCCTTTGAGGCAGAAATTGGGCGTAAGATAGGATGAGGGGTGGTGTCCTCCCTTACTAATACTGGACATTCTTCCAGTGACTGTTTCTATGAGCTTTGGGCATCTGTGCACATGTTTTTATGGGATAAATTCCTTGAAGTGAAATTGCAACCCTGAAGTATGTAAAGCTGGACCTATTAGTAACACCACCAAATGGGTATGAAAATGCGTGTTTCTCTGCATTCTCATTAATGCTGCATATTCTCAGTTTTGTTTTTGAGTTTTAGTCAATCTGGTGAGTGGAAAATGTCATCCTGTGGTTCTAATTTTCATTTCCCCGATTGCCAGTGAAATCGAGTATCTTTTCATGTATTTATTGGCCTTTTGTGTTTCTCTTACTGTAAATTACCTTTTGGTATTTCTTACCCACTTGCCTATCGGTTAATTTATCTTCATATCAACTCTATGGATCTTCATGTTGCTTATTATGTTACAATGCGTTTTCTCCAAAGGTTATCT